ACAGTCTCTTTACACACAACATTAAATTTTTATCCAATGTTAAATGAACAACATAAGTGAATATAAAAGCATTCTTTTGTGTTTAGTATGTATATTTGGTATTAATTTGAGTGCTTATAAAATTAATTATATAGTAATTATTCTATTTCATATGTACATTATTTAATTCTTTAATTAGAAATATGATGAGAAAATAGGCAGAAATCACTATGCTCTTTATTTGTATACCAGGCTTGTCTCTCCTTTATATCCTCATGTCTAAAATTAGTTAGAGCTTTGTTTTTGATTGTTTGCAAATTTAATGTATGGAAACACCTGCATAAGTTTTGGGGAATGTATTTATATCTTTGGGAAGCAGTGTGTTGTATGGTTTAAAAGCAGAAGCTCTGAAGTCAGACTGCCTGGGTTTAAATCTTTACCTTAGGGAAGTTTACTTTATTGTTTACCTTGGGCAAGTGATCTGTCTGAATGTAACTGTGTTTCATCTGTATGATATGGATAAGAACATGGTGTGTGATGGTACTAATGGAGCTAGTTAGTGGTAGAGGTGTTGCTGCCATTGCTGCCCCCCAGAGGTTGTGCATTGCACTATTATTTATAACAGCAAAAAAATTTAGAAAGAACTCTGATATGTAACACTGGGAAAAGGGATAAATGAATTCTAATATATCTGTGCAGTAAGATCTGTGAAGCCATTAAAAAGAATGAGAGAGACTTATGTGTTGTGTTAAGAAAAGATGTCTATAATATATATTAAGTGAATACAGCAAGTATGGTTCAGGTAGAGCATTACGTCAGTGGTTATGCATGTGTGTCACAAAATGTGCACAAGAAAAAAATCCAGAACATATCACAAAACTAAAGTTGTTCAGTTTTTCCCCCAGGGAATAGATTACAAGAAACTTTCACTTTTCCATTATGCATTTCTACAAATCTTAAACATTTTTTTAAAATTTCAGATGAACTGTAAAAGTGAAATACACTTATGAACAAAAGGTTTAAGGTGCAAAAAACACTGGATTAATAACATCATTCACATATTCTGTTTATAAGCTTATTAATTGAAAAAAAGTTGTTTTGGGTTTTTCCGTAACATCTTGTGCCATATTTAATTCTTTTTTTTCCCTTTTTACTTAATCTAATGTTAGTGAAATTTGTCTTATGTAAAAGATATTTCAGGGAAATATTTTAAGAAATCTGTTTAGAGTCTCTTTAACACAGTGTCCCATTGAAATTTTAATTTTTAGAGAAGTTATGAATCACTATATCAAGAATCAGATTGGAATGACAATGAAGCCTTTATTAGGCCACGACATTAAAAGTATATATTGCTTTACTACCTGCAATACCAGTATTACATAAATGCATGTATCAGAAACTTCACAGAAATTACATGACAACTCTTGTAGCTAAGAAAGTGATTCTGAGGTGTACATTTGTCTTGCCTTTTTAAATTTTTTTTTTTTTTTTTTGGCTGCGTTGTGTCTTCGTTGCTGCGCGTGGGCTTTCTCTAGTTGTGGTGGGCGGGGCTACTCTTTGTTGTGGTGCATGGGCTTTTCATTGCGGTAGCTTCTCTTGTTGCGGAGCACAGGCTCTAGGCGCATGGGCTTCAGTAGTTGTGGCACGTGAGCTCAGTAGTTTTGGCTCGCGGGTTCTAGAGCACAGGCTCAGTAGTTGTGGCCCATGGGCTTAGTTGCTCCACAGCACGTGGGATCTTCCCAGACCAGGGCTCGAACCCCTGTCCCCTGCATTGGCAGGCAGATTCTTAACCACTGAGCCACCAGGGAAGCCCACCTTTTAAAATTTATAAACCTGCCCTAAAAGGAGATGCATATCTGGGAAACTGAACTGTCTTTATGCAGTTTAGCCTTCATGTACATAAAATATGCCGTTGATTTTATTGGGGGAGAAATTCCATCCAAAAATGTTGCCTACAGCTATGAGTTAAGAGTGTCTGTACAGTGTATAGCTTTTATTTTTTAAAATCACAGATAGGGCATGTATATGAATTATAAATATATAAATATGATTTTGTATTAAAAGTTTTATAGTTTATGACAAAATCTGGTTCTGTGATAGGCTAATGAGTACAGTCCCTGTGAAGGAATGTTTGTGGCTCATGTCAGTGTGTGAATGCATAGACAATTTGAAGTTTTTGATATATTTGTGATATTATCTTCCGTATACATCTTACGGGAAAACCCAAATGAACTTTTTGGCCAACCCCATATATGTACTATATGATTTTAAGCTTGTTTATAGAAAGTTCAAAGTATTAGAAGGCAGGATGTTCATTCTTCCATTAAATATCTAGTGAACAATTACTCAGATACTGGACACGAGTTAAAAGATAAGTGGCCTGGTCTTTGTCAGGAAGGCAGACATGTAAGCAAATAAATACAGCTCTATCTGTTAAAACATTAATACAGAGTAGAAGAGGAAGTTAATGATTTTATGTGGGGTAATCAGGGAAGGCTGAATCAAAGATGTGACATCTGAGCTTTCTCTTTTAAGGTGAATAAGAGTTTATAAGAGATGGGGCAGAAGGCTGTCTGTGATAACACGAATAGTACATACAAGGAGATGGCATGATTTTGTGAAAACTTGGGGAAGTAGAGTGAGGGTTGGGTGTGTGAAGAAGACTTATTAAGAAATGAGTCCAGTTGGCATTTTCCTTTTGATGGTAGAGAGCAAGGGAAACGTTTTTAAAATCAGTGAGTAACATATAAATGTTGATTGGGTAGTATTTTAAGAAGAAAACCCTGGTGGCTGTTTGATAGGAGACACTGGAATGAGGAGAGGAAGCAAGAAGTCAGACACCAAGGAACAAAGATCTGTAGTGGTTAAGAAAAAGCTGAAAATTATTGATGGTTGAATTCTTAGAGACGGACTGCAACAGATCAGTCAGAGTGTTAAGTGGAGTCTGCAGCATGGAGTGGGTGGAGCAGAAAGGGAAAGTGATTTGTATCCAAGATACTGTTCTTGGTTCTAACTCAGACAACAAAGGTAGAGAGTGATATTGTTTTAAAAAAAAAAAAAAGTAGGGAATCCATTTACTCAGGAGGCAGGTTTGGAGGCTATAATGAGGTCTGTTAGGGCCATTGGGTTGATGCTTCCAAAGGCATCCAGTGACTTCTGTTGACTTGTTCATCATCATGATATCTTAGGAAGTTAGAATTTTAATTAGTTGTTTTTCAGAAGCATTTTACAATTGAGCCATCTTCGCAATTAAAGTCAGTAACAAACCCTTAATATTCAGTTCTGGAGGTTCTGTCTTCCTAGTGGGGAAATAGAACCCAAAGTGACACTGAAGGCTGCTGAGAAAAGTGGTTTGTTTGATTTACATGTGTTAAACAGATCTGCTTCCCATTCACTTTTTAGTAAACACAGGATTTCTGCAGCAAAGTTCAACTCTGGACATGGTTAGCATTATGTGCAGAGTTCCATATTCAGGACTGGAGAAGGGTCTTCCCCCGGTGGCCTGTCTGGGAGTACAGAACACTCCAGTTCCACATGCCTGCATTCCCTAACAGGATTTTGACCCCATCAAAGTAGATCTTTGATAATACTATAGTAGCAAATTGGTCTGTTCCTAATACAAATGAAACTGGCCTAGAATTAAGGCCTTGGGTCCCATGGGCCTGTGTGAGTGGTCTGTTTAACCAAAGTTACTCTTTCAGCATTACTCTTAAGGCTGTGTTGGACTGCCAGTATAGAAAGAAGGAACTTGTTCCATTTTTGCACAGGAAACATACTTAGTCTCTGATCTTGGATGTGGGAGGTGAATAAAAAGAAGTGTTGTTATGAGAAAAATGTCTCAGGAATTAGGCTGCTAAGTTTATCATCTCTGACACTAGCTTTGTGATGTACCGACTAAACCACTCTGTGCCTCAGTTTCCCCATTAGAATGGAGATAGTACTACTGCTTATGTCCTTGGTCATTGTAAGGATTAAACGAGTTAATGTACCTAATATACTTAGCACAGGGGCTGGCACACAGTAAGCAGTCAATTTGTGTTGGTCCACAGATGGAAAATTTTAGGCATTTGCTCAGACTCTCCCAATTTACCTTTGCCTTTCCTGATTCCTGGTAGGAGTGGGAAGTGGAAGCCAGGGAGTGGGAGAGACAAGGAGGAAATATGCCTGAATTTAGTGGTTTATACTGGGCCTCTCTTTTCATTGCTATTACCTCTTAAAAGCAACTGTCTAGCCTCCCTACCCTCATAAAGATAGAATAATCTTCTTATACTTTCTATATTCTTTAGCCCTATCTCCCAGGTATTACTTCCTCACTCTGTAGCTTTGAAATTTGTACCTTTTCTCTTTTTCTTCCTGAGAAATTTGCTTTCCGGCAGTTGTGGTGTTTACTCTGCCCCCATTCCAAGTCTCTGAAAAACTTAAACTTCTAGCCACAATCTCCACCTCCTAGCAACTTCCAGGCTGCTTAAGAATAAGCTTTTTTGAACCATGTTTTCTCTGTTATAGTTTTCTTGGTGTGAGTCAGTCACATAAATAATGGAAATAAATGGTACTTGGCAGGCTTAGCTAAACTGTGCTTTATATTAAGCAGAATGTTTATGATACTGTAGGTACTCTGAGAACACTTGCATATATTCCTTATTAAAGAAACTTTTGGGGTCTCTAGGAAGGTACTGTCCCAAAACTGACTGGATTGGGGGATGGTCCCTGAGCTGCAGCACTCCATGTCATATATTAACACTAATAACAGTTATTTGGGTCATGACTTCCAGAGCATTTTCTAAAAATCTGACCTTTCTTACATCTGTGTCTTTGGGGGTGTAGATTTTATTATTGGGTAATTTCCTTTTAGTGGAGAAGAATCAAGTATACAGGTTTACCTTTCTTCTCTGAGCACATTGTTAATTCTGCATTAATGAATTGTTTTATGTCAGGATGTGTTTTCTTTTTAAATTAGCACCCCTCCCACTTTTTTTTTTTTTTTTTTTTTTTTTACCAGAACATGATGAATGCAGCTTAAGGTCCTCTTCCTGATGGATGGGAACAAGCCATGACTCAGGATGGAGAAATATACTATATAAACCATAAGAACAAGACCACCTCTTGGCTAGACCCCAGGCTTGACCCTCGTTTTGGTAAAGGTTCATCTCAAAATCTTTTTAGATATTTTTGATGACTGTTTTTTGGTATGTGAATTTGGGAATGTACATTTAAATTAAATTGCACTGCTTCATAATTTAAAAAAATGACTGCCCATCCAACTTATCCAAGTACTGTTTTTATACCTTTCACTTTAAACTTGAGAAATTCAGGTCTAAATCAGCCTTTTAGCTTGGACTTCTTGGGATGGGGTTGGAGGAATGTTGTGGTGGTTTACTAACCAGGCTCACTGTTCCTTTCACATTTTGGGGAAACACAGTGATCGTGTTTAAAATGATCTTTCTAGCTACAGAAATAATCGGTCTGTCGCTTCACCTAAAACCTGGGATATCAAATTTTGTCAATAACGTGGTGTCTGCTTATGCTTAACTTAAGAGAGCAATGAATACCATCCTGTGCCTGGGTATTACAATGTTTTCTATCCAGGGGGGGGTGGGTACCCCTGTCACCCTAGAGATAGACCAATGAAAGCCTTTTTTTCCTTCTCTTCGCTTCTGCCCCCACCCCTTTTTAAGTAAAGGGGGTTTTTCCTTTGTTTTTCATTTAGGAAACAAACCCAAAATAAGCCATATTTCCCTCCAAATCAAATGACAAAAATCACCATTTGCACAAAGAAATACTCGCCTCCCAAATGTGCATATTTTGATAATAGTATACATTTTTTTTTAGGGCCTTTTTACACATATTTTTTCACTGTTTTCAGTTTCTTCAGTTGGGTTTCTGAGACATTTTTCCAAAGCCATGGAAAAATGTATTTAAAAAGGAGCAGATCATTGTGGTTTTAAAGCTTTCGTCTTGGACTGGATGCAGCTAAATGAAAACAATGTGCAGATCACTGAGTAGGTCAGGCTGAGGGAACTCGGAACCTTTGAAGCTTTACAGGGGTTGACCTAACAACAACTGTGGGGCCCTTATGGGAAAGAGGAATTAACTCTGTGAATGCCATCAAAATACAGTCCTGGGGGGGAAAGAGAAAGAAAAACTCTACCCAGAGCTGGTTGGGTAAAATAACTTCCCCATCAGGAACGTTCTGAGCAGTTCTCCTATATCTATATGTATACCTTTTTAAAACCCCAACATTTGGGTTTGCCCCAAGCTTACTGATTGGCCAGCTTTATGAACTGATTGAATCCCCTATTCAAGTCAAGTCAAAGGTGAGATCAGGGCAGAGACTGTCATTTTGACAGATATCCGGTTTGGCTTAAATGCTAGCCTTTTGAGTTTCAAGACCTATTTGAGTGTTAAAAAAGTAATGTGGCATGTTAATAATTTGCAACTTCAGATTCTATTTAATGCTTGAATAAGCCCTTGTGGTTGAAACAGGAAACCAAGTAAGGTAGAGAATTTAATAAATGTTGCCATTTGTATGGACTAGAACGATAACAGACATGTTTCCTTAAATCATCTTTAATGAAATGAATTCTGCTTGTCCATGTTTTGGAAATTTTAAAAAATGGTACTGTGGGATTTTTTTCCCTCTACACGAGATTATGAAAAATGATGATTAACCCCTTAGCTAACTGTAGAAATCAGCAATTGGAACAAAGCTTTTTTTTTTTTTTTTTTTGAGTATTTTCAGTTAATAAAAAGTGAAATAAAACAACTTGGCTGTGAGCTTAAGTAGATTCATTAATTACACACACAGCTTGGTCTTTTGTTTTAAATGGGAGAAAGTACCAAAAAAAAATAATGATAATCTCCTTCCCACCTTCAACACGTATGTACACACAGCGTACAGTTAGCTATGCCAAGAAAAGTTCATAAAATACTCTTACTGCGTTTAGTTTCCCTTTTTGGGCCCACTGTGTATGTGTATTCCAGACAGGCTTGACAACATGCCAAAGCTTTTTATTTTGTGGCCCGACTTTTAATCTGTTCCAGACCTTTTCAGTCAGAGAGCTCAAGTGTAACTGAAGGGGAGCAGGAAAGGGGAAAAAAAAAAGTGTGGGTTTCTCTGATCCAGAGTGACAGCAAATAGAGACAAGCTGTTAGCTGCTGAATTTGAAGTTTTCCTTGAAATCTGAAGTTCTATGGTGGATTGCATTTTATCTGCCAAAAAAATATAGACTATCCCCTTTCTGACCCTTTGAACCATGCAGACACCAACAAATGATAGGTTATTGCTTTCATGGTTGTGAAATTTGTTTTCCTATATTCCCCAAATCTATATGAAAGTATTTACCATTTTTTACCTTAAGTCAAGTTGACTTATGTCTTTTGACATTTTAGAGTAGAAGATACACCTTACATCTGATAAGCTTGACTTTATCACTCACCTCCTTCAAACACCAGCCTCTTTCATATTTCTGTTCTTTATCAGATGCTTTAGAATAATTATATTTAGAATAATTCACATCCCACATGAAGTTAATAAATTATCCATGTAATATAAATTCAGGAAATTAAATAATTAGTTATGCATTGTTTCTTTCTTATCTGACTTTTTATTCTTTAACATTTAAAAACTATGTATCTTTTAAAAATTTTTATTGAAGTTTTTATTTTATGTTGACTTACAATATTAGTTTCAGGTGTATAGCAGTGATTCAACATTTTTAAAGCTTATACTCCATTTAAAGTTATTATATGATAATGACTATTTCCCTATGCTGTACAATGTATTCTTGTTGTTTATTTGTTTTATACATAGTAGTTTGTGTCTCTTAATCCCATACCCTTATCTTGCCCCTCCCTAAAAACTATATATCGTTGACATTTATATTATTTTACAACATTGATTAGTAATTTGTAACAAATCATGAAGTGACATCCATTGCCAATAAGAATTAGCTGATATTTACTGACTTCGAAAAAAGGAGGGCTTTTGTTTGTTTTTAAGGAATCATATTAGGAATGTTTTTACACTGTATTAAAGTTGATGCTTGAGTATTATGCAGGTCATTAAATTATTTCTTATTAACACTCTTTTTCCTAGAGATTTTATACTTGCAAACATGAAGAGTCTCAGGTTTAAATATTTTCTTGTATGTTGTAAAATTATTTACTGTTTTATATAATAATAGCCATTTGAATATTTTCCAGTAAAAGCCCTAATGGAAACATACACAAAAATTATAATTCCTGTTTTTCAGAATGAAAACTCTATTCCAGAATATTAATGGTCAATGAACTGATCTTTTATGTAATGTTGTTGTCCCTGTTTATATAAAAGGACATAATAAGTAGTGTTAGAATCTGTGTTTCTGGGAATAAGTGCTGATGGGACCACTGGGATTAAAAGCACGTTTGGTGTAAATAAAATAACTGGAACTAGAGATTTGGATTAAAAGGTGTATCTTTTGAGACTTAAAGGAGGTAATAAACAACCTAGTTGGCGAATTCAGAATATCCTTTATAATTACTATCAACAATTCTGTGCATAGAAATTCTGTGCATGGAAATGTCACAGCTAACTAAACCCTAGGTGTTGATTTTGGTCCTTGGTTTCAAAGTTTCCCAAAACTTGCTATTAAGTTAAAAGCCAAAAGTTGTTCACATCTTTCTTATCAAAATTAAATACTTTGCATCAATAATTAAAGGTCTGTTAAATTTTTTTAACTGTTTAGGCATTCATTAACCTTTTTCCTTGAAGACTAAATATTTCTGATAGCTGTTATAAGTAATATTTTACTTTTGATGAAAATGTACATAAATGTACCTAAGTCTGTTCTAGTAGAGATAGGAAAAAACACTAAAGGCTGTAGAAACTAAATCTGTAACTCCATTAATGGAGTCTTGGGTAGCTAGAATACCAACATCAAATCATTTGAATTTTATTGAAGCAAGTCTCTTTATACTCGTGCATTAAAAACAAGTTCTTTGTTTTGTTTTCCTTACCGTCTTTTTTTTTTCTTTGTGGTACACGGGCCACTTACTGTTGTGGCCTCTCCCGTTGCGGAGCACAGGCTCCAGACGCGCAGGTTCAGCGGCCATGGCTCACGGGCCCAGCCGCTCCGCGGCAT